ACGGCCCTCATAAGGATCGTTGGAATTCTTTGCTCTTTTTTTCAGTGGTCCTTTTGAAGATCGTTAGGTTTCTGCTTTTCTTCCACGGCTCTCACTAAGACCGTTGAATTTGTTGTTAGTCATGCCGCGAGATTGCTTACGCAGAGTTCGACTGCTAGGTGACGACCCTCGTTATGTTATTCAGCTTTGGTGCACTTTTGCAACAAGTAACAGGAGCACCACGTGAAGTCTGTTTTATTGCCCCCAAAGCTACATTTATCTATGGTTAGTACATTAAGGTATCAATAATAAAAAATAAGGAACTATTAATAATGTTTGTTTTATTTTTAAAAAAAAGTTTGTCGGGAAGTATAATTTCAGCCGACCGGCCGGATCCTGACTCGTAGGTTACCGAGCCCTTTGCTAAGCGAATAGTACTAGTGGTACAAATATAGGCTATATAGAGATTCTTTTTAGAATGTCTTTCTACATGTTGTACTACGAGGAATGTCGTGACAGTAATTTGTTTACTCCACCGCTGCCAGCAGCTTATCGCAGTAAATTCAAACCAAGCGTTTTACGTGGAAAATAACTCGCTGTAATATTTGAAACGAAATTGATCTCAGAGAAAATATATGGCAAAATTCGATCCACTTGTTTAGAAAATAATTAACCGAGTCAAAATTTAAAATTAAGTTGTTAACGAAGAAATTAAATAAAATCATTCTGGAGGACATGACTAACTCCGCGGTATGTTTTAATCAGCGCAATAGTTAGGCGCCATATAATAGGGTTTTACACTATTTAAATAATTAAAAGAAAAATCTGTTTGAATAGATTGATATTTGCAAACCTAAATCTAAAACCAGTGTCTAAAATGTTTTCCAGACTTTTTCTGAAAAACACCTACTACTGACAAATTATTCTCTATTAAATCGACGGATAAACTTGTGCGAAGTCGTCCAAGTTGATGTCTAAAAGTGCTTATGAGTTAAGGTTACTTTGTCATTTTGTCGCGAAGAATACGTTATCCCTCTGCATGAACATCGCAGTTTCTTTGTGCCTAGTTGCATCATATGGCCGCTCATGCCCATTCATAGGTCATATTTCGAACCACTTCAAGGAAACACTGTCTGAATATCAAAAATAACTCAATAAAGTTAATGACATTTATAAACGAGTTGACCAGTACATGAACAAAATTAAGTACAGTGGAGTAAATTAAATTGTAAACAACTAAACAGAATGCTAAAATATAAATCTTGAAGAGTGGAACGAGTAACGTGCAACATCCAAATTGTAATACGTTATTTTTAATAAACTGTTTGTTATAAATGAATTAATAAATATGAATGATTTGACTCCAGACGCAACGGCATGGTTTATAATATACCTGCAAAAACCTGTTGGTGTCTGATTCTGCTATCCGCTGCACTCTGCGGATAAACAGAAGCAGCTGAACGGGAGGAGAAGTTCAAGTGCATCTTTGTCGTGTTTACGGGTGCTGGAAAATTTGAGGAGGAGTTCGACCGGGTGATATGAGTAGCCAGTTGCGTTCTACGTGAACTATCCCGGATCACTGTGACTAAAGCAGAGCTGAGTCTGAAGACTAAGCTCTCAGTATTTAAGTCGATCTTTATCCCCATGCTCATTTGCAGTCATGGGTCGTGGATTTTGACTGAGAGATTTCGATCTCTGGTGCAACTTACTGAATATAATTTTGGTTTCTGAGACGAGTGGCTTAGCTCACGCGTCTTGACATGCTCCAAAGTACAGATCTGCCAGAGTGCCTATATGTGCTTCTGCTTCTCCAGATTAATTCACAACTGCGACTGTTTAGGCAAGCCTTTCGAATGCTGTGAGATTGGAAGGCAAAACACCTACTACTTGCCGAGCCAACCGGCAGAAGATCCCCGGGGAAGGTCAAGACTAACATGGGGCAAATATATCGATGGACTCCACGCCAGACTCCAGTAATTTTTTGCCGAAGCTGAAAGGCTGGCATATTATCGGGAACGTTGAAGACACTCTCTGACTTGTTTGTTTTCTTGACTCGAAAA